GAATAGGGTATATTAGAGGAGGTAACAGTCACATTGGATGCATTTGGGAAATGGGGTGGGGAGGGGGAAAGAATAGACAGGAGGAACAGATGGGTCACATGTAGGTGAGGTCTGGGCATATGTGTAGCAGGTTTTGAGGCAGGAAGGACTGATGGATCCAGAGAATGGGATAGGGAAAGTTGGAAAGGATGCTGGGATGGAGGGATGCACGTGCTCAGGTTGATAGTGATTTTGAGAGGTAGAGAAAGAGGTTGTGGTGTAACAGGGTTTGATACAACCTGGCCCTGTGTGAGGGCTGATGCGGGGTTGTATCCAGGTTCTTTTGCTGTAGGATGCATCACAAAGTCGTTGGTGTTGCCCCGGAGGTTGCTGGTGACCCGTAAATGCTGGGGAAGCTCAGCGTTGGAGAGATATGTGTCATAGCGAGTCCTTGTACTGCTGGAAAAATGTTCGCTTTGTTGTCGCAGTAGTGGAAAGAAATGTTTCTCTGGTTGAGTTCTTGTTTGATCCGGACAACTGTCCACTCGGTAATATTTGGAGTGGAGGGACAGTTGGAGTGTTGGCTTGGTGGTTGCTGGTAGTGATAGCTCCAATTATCGCTCAACGCCTGGACCTTGAGCGGGTCGGCGAACGGTGGCTGGTCGAGGCTGCATGCTCGGGGGAACCGAAGCGGGGATCTCCCCCTGGAGCTGCTGGCAGGCTCGACAATGTTCAAATTGTCAGAGATTGTAGGCTGAGAGCGCTGGGGAATATGGATAGCTGAACACAGCGGACGTTTCAAATGAGGTTGATCGTGAGAAGAAGAAGACTCCGGTATTTCCGATGTCAGATGATTGTCGAACATGTCGCTGAAGAATTAAGAACGAGTTCTGAATCCATTGTTAAAGGTAAGTGATTTTTTTGTTTTTGTTTGTAACGCTCATGAGAAAGCTGAGTCAAGGGGAGGTGAACGGAAAAGGTGTGCTTAAGTACTTGGTGTGCGGAAATTGGATGAGTTCAAGGCGGGGTCTTAGTTCCCGAATCTAGTTTATAAACTTCATTTGATATTATGGTAATAATACACAAACGGTAATATCATGTAAATAATTCGAGAAGTACAAACTTCAAGGGATGGGGGCACGCAGTCCATCTTTCTGCAATCCAGCGGACTTGTAAATGCTCCGTATTTGTATAGCGCCTTTCTATTCTTTTCGACCACTCAAAGAGCTTTTACACTACATCTGCATTCACCAGTCACACATTCATACACGCCACAATTCATGAAGTCAATTCAGGGTTCAGTATCTTGCCCAAGGACACTTTGACATACAACCTGACTTGATGACAGCAGGACCTCACATCTCTGAAAAAACATAGTAGCAAATTTTCAAATCAGCTCTATCTTGGTGGGCCTGAACAAAGCTCGTCAGTGCGCGATGTGCGGGAGGAATAAGCCATTTAGCAATAGCCTTAGGGCTGCGCCTATAGTCATAGAATCTGGAGTCACAGTACGTCACTAATGACATGCACTTTCAACAAAGCGCTGTGTGTACTCACAAAAGTGAAATGTTAGTTAGAAGAAGAAGACCCAATATTTGAAATGGTCATCAGATGAATGGGTAAATGAATCCTGACCTGAGCATTTTCAGCGTACAGTTTGGACTCTCGAGTCCAGCAGACAGCAGCTTCATTCCTGAATCCTGCAGGTTGTTGTTACTCAGGTCCAGCTCTCTCAGATTAGAAGACTGGGAGCTGAGAACTGAGGACAGAGCTTTACAGCTTCTCTCTGACAGTTTACAGCCACTCAGTCTGGAGAGACAATAGTCAGGAAACAGTTATTTATTTTTTATTGAAAGATTATTGAAGAGTATGTGTTGATAAATAAATCCCACTTACAGAGCTTTCTTGGAGGCTTTGACCACTGGCAGCAGCCTCAGAAGAGCCTCTTCTGAAGCAGAGTATTTCTTCAGGTCAAACACGTCCAGATCTCTTTCTGATGACAGTAAGATGAAGACTAGAGCTGACCACTGAGCAGAGAGAGTTCATCTGTGGAGAGACTTCCTGAATTCAGGGAGCGTTGGATCTGCTCCACAAGAGAACAATCCTTCAGTTCATTCAGACAGTGGAACAGATTGATGCTTTTCTCTGCAGAGGGAATCTCTTCAATCTTCTTCTTGATGTACTGGACTTTCTCCTGATTTGTATTTGAGTCACTTCCTGTCTGTGTCAGCAGGCCTCGTAGGAAAGTCTGATTGGTCTGCAGTGAAAGTCCCAGGAGGAAGCGAAGGAACAAGTCCAGGTGTCCATTTGGACTCTGTAAGGCCTGGTCCACAGCACTCTGGTAGAACTGTATCACTGCAGATTCATCTTTTCTTGTTTCAGACTTCTGGGAGGTTGATTGTTCTTCTGCCAGCAGGTTGACACCAGAGTTGATGAAGGTCAGATGGACATGAAGAGCAGCCAGAAACTCCTGAACTCAGATGGACGAAGCAGAACACCTTGTCCTGGTACAGCCCTCTCTCCTCTTTAAAGATCTGTGTGAACACTCCTGAGTACACTGAGGCTGCTCTGATATCGATGCCACACTCTGTCAGGTCTGATTCATAGAAGATCAGGTTTCCTTTCTGCAGCTGCTCAAAAGCCAGTTTTCCCAGAGACTCAATCATCTTCCTGCTCTCTGGACTCCAGTGTGGATCTGTCTCAGATCCTCCATCATACTTGATGTTCTTCACTTTTGTCTGAACCACCAGGAAATGGATGTACATCTCAGTCAGGGTCTTGGGCAGCTCTCCTCCCTCTCTGGTCTTCAACACCTCCTCCAGAACTGTAGCAGTGATCCAGCAGAAGACTGGGATGTGGCACATGATGTGGAGGCTTCGTGATGTCTTGATGTGGGAGATGATTCTGCTGGCCTGCTCCTCATCTCTGAATCTCTTCCAGAATACTCCTCCTTCTGTGGATCATTGAACCCTCTGACCTCTGTCATCATGTCAACACACTCAGGAGGGATCTGATTGGCTGCTGCAGGTCGTGTGGTTATCCAGAGGCGAGCAGAGGGAAGCAGGTTCCCCCTGATGAGGTTTGTCAGCAGCACATCCACTGAGGTGGACTCTGTAACATCAGTCAGGACCTCATTGTTGTGGAAGTCCAGAGGAAGTCGACACTCATCCAGACCGTCAAAGATGAACAACCTGGAACTCTTCAAACCTGCAGATTCCTGCTTCTTTGGTTTCAGGAAAGAAGTGATGAACAAGTTCCACCAAGCTGTACTTTTTCTCTCAGCACATTCAGCTCTCTGAAAGTGAAAGGAAATGTGAACTGTATGTCCTGGTTGGCTTTGTCTTCAGCCCAGTCCAGAGTGAACTTCTGTGTTAAGACTGTTTTCCCAATGCCAGCCACTCCCTTTGTCATCACTGTTCTGATTGGTTCATCTCTTCCAGGTGAGGGTTTAAAGATGTCTTCTTGTCTGATGGTTGTTTCTGGTCTGGCTGGTTTCCTGGATGCTGTTTCAATCTGTCTGACCTCATGTTCATCATTGACCTCTACAGTCCCTCCCTCTGTGATGTAGAGCTCTGTGTAGATCTGGTTCAGAAGTGTTGGGTTTCCTGCTTTAGCAATCCCCAAACACACACTGGAACTTCTTCTTCAGCTTAGATTTAAGTTTATGCTGGAAACAAACTGGAGCAAATGTGTCTGAACGAACACAAAACAAATAAGATCATAAATAATTTGACAGTTCTAAGAAATGCATATATAAACGTATTGCCCTCCATCCCTTGAGATATCAGTAAATGTCCCGTTTATTCAGCATGTAAAATATTTAGAGAAATACTCTTACCGCTCTGCAGACGCTCAGCCAGCTTCTCCTGCTTCATTCTCCTCAGGAAGTGCAGTGTGATCTTCAGAAAAGCCTCTTTGCTGCTCCTCCTCTGCTCTTTCTCCTCACCGTCCAACACGTTCTCATCCTCCATCTGACTCTCTAAGAATTCTGGGTAATCTGAACTCAGAACCTTTTGGAACTTCTTCAGTTCGTTCTTCACAAAAGTGACAATGTTCTCCTCCAGCAGCTGGAACAGAATATTATATGAAGGACACAATCAAAGTCAAATCATGGAACCAAACATCAGATCCATGTTGGACAGACTGACAATCCACTGGTCTAAAAAGTGCAGCGTGGAGATTATTGTGAACAGTATAGATGGAAAGTAGTTGTGTACATGTACAGACCATAAATATGGAGTCCAGGTGTGTTTGATGCTGCTGGGCAGAGATACCACTGGGAACCTCTGAGCTCTCCTGGTCGACTCTATGGAGGAATCATTGTGATGAAAATTGTATGTTTTACAGTATTTACTGTTTACCTTTATGTGTCTTAGTATTATAGGTTTCACCATGTGGTGCTTAATGCTTTACAATGTTGTTTACTATGTTACTATGTTGTTGGAAAGCAGTTCTCATGGGAAGGTAGCTTGTTAAAGGATTTCATATCTGACTGTCCTTGATAGGAAATAAAGTGTCATCATCTTAGGGTAGTTCCTCCCAGCTGCATAATAAACTATATAAATAGTAATATAGACTAATGTAAAGTAACATGTTTCTTCACTGGCTCTGTTATTACACTTTTCAGACTTATTGCACTCTGACGCTGATGGCAGTCTGTATGTTTGTCTGACCCTTTGCAAAAAATAAAACAATGATGTCAGGATTAAATCTTTATTTCAGGAGGCTCACTAGAAGAAAAGTCCCATTACATAATTTAGGATTAGCTCCCATTGTGTCTGTCTAAACAGAGAAAAATACAAGGAAAGGTCCTTAGAGTTAAAGTGTTGATTACAACATTGAATCAGATAGTTTCTCCTGACATTAAATTATAGTTCATACTGCTGATCCCACTGTGACTCAACAGTCCAGTCTGCATTTCTGTGTAGCTTCTGGTTTACTGTGTTGGTACACCAGCTTGTCAGATTTAGTATTTCAAGCTCTTATTGACACTGTGGACAGCAATGCACAGCTCACACAAGATAATTGGACTTTACCTCTCCAGTGCCAATTGGTAGTCACAATAGACATGTGGCAGGTGAAGTGAGTGAAACATAAGGAAAATAAAAAAATAAAACCAGAGAAAACCAAAGCTAAGCCTGATTTCACACTGAATACTTCTCTGGGCTACATGTATGCAAACAGGCACAGGTATTGTTCAGAGAAGTTGGTAAAAGGTGATCTTCTGCAGTTATCCATAACACCCTCCTCTGCATAGACAGACATGTTGACAGTGGCAGAACTCCAGCCTGATGTGATGCACCGTTATGCTGCTGTCAGCTGAGGTACTTTACTTTTTGGGGAACAAAACTTTTGATGTGGACATTGTGCACAATGTAATAAGACAAACAATTGCAAGAGTTCTAAACAAGTCTAGTTTTCTATTGGCCTTTTCATTAGGTGTAACTTTACTAACATTGTCTCCATGTTGGCCTGCCATTGTCCTCAGAGAACTTCATTATAAGTCAGGAAATGTTTAAAAAATGGAAATCTGAAAACTGAGTTTTTGATACAAACACACTGTTTTTTTATTGTAGTTTTTTGTAATCAGTTTTAAATCCTCACCTTGGATCAATAGAGTGACGTCCATCTTTGAAGCATATAGGAGGTTCCATAGAGTTGTCACTCTTCATTGACACACAGCTGGGTTCTAGTGTTTCCAGCTTCCATCTGAAATACATAAAAATAAAATATAATCTACACCCAACCAGAACACAGTCAGACGATATGTTGCGGAGTCATTTGACATTTTCTCTCTGTTTTGTCTGGCTATCCAACAGAACTGTTTTCTGCCACTCTAGATACCCCAGTAAAGAGCTGCAGGAAAAACAAAAGTGACTTGTATGTTCTGCAGTTAGCTGACTTCACAAGTTTTCACTGTTTTAAGTTGGTCTGAAACTAAACCAGCACGCCAAAGTCTACTAACTGATCCTCCTATCAACAACATTGTTTAGATTACTTTCCCAACATCAGTCTGCATTTTTTAGAGTTAAGAAGTAGAGGTGGGTCAGTTTAATCCCATCGTTTAACTCACTGATTTCTGCCTGCTGCCACTCAGGGAGTAATTATACCCATTTGATTAATTCCTCTGTTTACAATTATTTGAGTTAAGGAAGGATGTAGTCATATTTGTATCACTCCTGATTAATATAACGCATCTTACTACGTATAGGTGAAATTAACATACATATATATACACATATATACATACACACACATATATATGTACACACATATACATATTCATATACATTCTCTTCACAGATAAGAGCAGGTTCACACTGAGCACATGTGACAGACAAAGAGTCTGGAGACACTGTGGTGAACTTTATGCTGCCTGCAACCTCATCCAGCATGCCTTTCGGTATGGCAGTGGTTCAGTGATGGTCTGGGAAGGCACATCCTTCCCCCACGAGCCATTGTCAGACATTACACTGGTGCAGTGGGCCCTGGGTGTATACATATACTATACATATATATATATACACACACACACACACACACATATATATATATATATATATATATATATATATATATATATAATATATAATATATATATATATATATATATATATATATATATATATATCGTATATATACACACACACATGTGTGTGTATGTGTTGTATATATATATATATATATATATATATATATATATACATATATATATCGTATATATATATATATATATATCGTGCAGTGACATCGACTCACGGAGCTAATCGGCTCCGTCCAGCTCATGCAACACCAGCATTCGCCGTGATATTAATCAAGTGAACCCACTCTCACGCTGAGAATCCCTATACTTGTGACTGAGCGGTAACGTAGCTCAGGAGCGTAAGACTGGGGGTATACTAGAACACTATACAAGAATGAGTAGCTGTGGATGCGGGGAGGGGCCCGTTAAGAATGCTTCTGCAAAGAGGTCCAGAATTTTGTGCTACACCCATTATTATTATTAAACCTTTATTTAACCAGGAAAATCCCATTGAGATTACTAATCTCTTTTTCAAGGGAGTCCTGGCCAAGACACAACAATTCAGTACATTTCAGACAATTTCATAACAATTTCATAAGACTATTTAAAAACATTTACAAACCATAGATTTCATTTCCAAACCTTTGAGCAAGAGTTTAAATTGGCCTATTGAAACCAGTTCCTTTAATTTCCAGAATTTTTGTAAATTGTTCCATGTTGTGGGGGCAGAAAAGTGAAATGCCACCTTACCAGCTTCTGTGCGGACACTTGGTACAGACAGTAGCAGTGAGTCTTGTGAGCGTAAAGAATACAGTCCAGCCCCTTTTGGTTGAATATATTCACACAGATATGAGGGGAGCAGACGCAGAATACCCTTATAAATAAACATATACCAATGACTGAGTCTACGATTTTCCAGTGCTGGCCAGCCCACACGTGTATAAAGTTCACAGTGGTGTGAACATGATGTAGCTGGTAGAGTTTTGCAATATAAAAACATCTAAAAACTTAGGTGCAGACTTGCTGTTTGGGACTGTGAGCTGCACTTTATCAGAGGTGCTGAGGTTTCATGTGTGTGGATTTGTGGTGAGATTTCTGCCCATCAGAAGTGTTTCAGTTAGTTTCAGTTTCACATGCAACATGGAGTCCCAAACTGTGTCGGACAAACAGTCTGAAGAGGATACTCATGAAATTAGTTAGTCTTGTAATATTATGTTTTCTTTCTTAAAGACTGGTTACATCCTGAAAATTCGGTGTTAACGTCACTTTGTCTGAGGCCATAATGTGTTGTACAGTATCGCCCTTAGGCGACAGCACGTATGAATGTGCCATCCTGGAGGAGCTGGGCTACCTGGATAACCAAACTCAACTAACAAGGTGAGGTTGGCTGAAGACTGTTTCTTGTCAAAGTCATTCAACATGGCAAGACTGAGCACAGCAACAAGACACAAGGTAATTAAACTGCATCAACAAGGTCTCTCCCAGGCATTCATTTCAAGGCAGACAGAGGTTTCCAGATGTGCTGTCCATGCTCTTTTGAAGAAACTTAACAATAACAATACAAACTAATACTAATAACAATAACAATACTTATTCATCATTCAGCATTACCAACAGGGAGGCATCTAATTGGTCCCAGATTTATTCTGTGGCATGACAAAGACCCACAATTAAGAACAATTTTCAGCTTAAAGAAGGACAAGGAGTCCTGGAAGTGATGGTGTGGCCCCAATGGAGCCTTAATCTTTACATCATCAAGCCTAAAGGGGATTACATGAAGAGAGAGAAGCAACTGAGGCTGCCTAAATTTACAGAAGAAGTGTGGGTAGTTCTCAAAGAGCAACCTGATTTGAGAATATAAATGTATGAGATGAACTTCTCTGGGTAACAGCTGAACATGAATCAGTAATATTTTAATGTTATTAACAGCTGACCTCTTTGCAGCAGAGCATTGTCCTCCTTTAAAATCATTGAAGCCTCCCATTAACCGGTCACTCTTGAAGGAGACACAGCTGGGCTCAGGTCCAGGTCCAGCAGAGTCTGGTCCTTCATAAGTTGTCCTGTTAGAGAGGAAGACCACCAGGGATGGAAATTCACTTTTTAGTCTTTGGCCAGAGAAGCTGCAGGAGAAACTAGCAGCTTCTCTAAAGCTCAATAAAAGCATCGTTGGTTTCTTTTCCCATAAAGCTACAGCCACCACCAACTCTTTCAGTGGACATATGGGCATGTCAGTGTTGTTTAGGGACAGAGTGGAAAACACGTGGACCTGTCCTTTAATCCTAATCTGGCTCTGACCTTCATCATCATTCTAGGAGAACATGGACATTAGAAGGACAACTGGTCAGACTGGATTTAATGAGGACAAACATCAGCAGGGAGCAACATGAGGAGGGAGACATGAACATTTAGCTCTGATTGGCCAACACTGTTTAATACTGACTGATACTCACTGTCTGTCAGACACATGTCCTCTCTTAAAATCAATGATATCAACCATTGACTGGTCACTCTTGAAGGAGACACAGCTGGGTCCAGGTCCAGGTCCAGAGAAGTTTGGTCTCTGCAGCACTGGGCTTCAACACAACACACACAGAGCTTTGAGAGTGAATAATGATGGTGGAGTGATTTGAGTCCTGGACAGTTAGAGATCCTCATCTCACCTCTGAGCTTTGGTCTGGCTGTCATGTTCCCCACACAGAGTGCTTTTAGAGGGAGGGACTCCCTCCTCTCTGTCCTCACACTGACTCATGCTGCTCAACTCACATCCACTTTCACCTGGAGAGGAAACACAAATCATTCATCTGCACATCAACTCAAATCCTCCTTTCCATCATTCCTCCTGGAAAAAGATCAGCTGCTCCTCCACTGATTGGCTGCTAGTTTCTGTTTCATATCAGTGGCAGCTGAATGCAGTCAGACAGCAGCGTGAGGCAGAGGAAGCTGCCATCAGCTGCTGGACTTCTACTATCAGTCCACTAGATGGAGGCATGAAGCTGCAGCCCAGCACACACACCTGCATGGAGGAGCGACTACATTCATTGAAGGACTGATAGGAAACATGACACAAACTCTGGAGGGGAAAGGGGTCTGAGTAGAAAGGACACTCATATGAGAAGGGCCCACAGAGATGCTAGAATGAATAGCCGTGGATGTGGGGAGGGGTCAGTAGAGAATGCCAATGTACACGGTTCAGATTTTTGTGCTATGTCCTGGTCACATTACAGATGGTGTTTTAATTATTGGTGCTGATTTTAATCAAATAGACCTCAGCTCTACCAGCATGCAGCACCCCGCCCCCACCAAAGACAAAATAGTCATCCCCTTCAGGTCTGACAGGAAACGTTAGCAGGGATGGGCGAAGATACGTCAAAATGTAAATTTAAAATAAGATACCACATATGTAACCAGTTAACAGATCAAATACGCATAAAAATTTATGGAAAGCTGGAAACCTAAAGTTTCTTACCATGAACTTCTTCAGGTCTGATCAATTTTCTGTTCTTATTTACATTTATTCATTTAGCGGACACTTTTATCCAAAGCAACTTACAATTGCTATACATGTCAGCGGTCACACCTAGGGGTTAAGTGTCTTTCTCCAACATTTACTCTGACTTCTCGGTTATTTATATGAAAACGGCACGCAGTTGATTTAGCGTTAGACTATGATGTGAAAGGATGCCATATGCATTGGTACCAGAAACCAAAAGACGTGACAAAGCACAGATATTTGATGCTTTGGTAATGAGAACATGCTGGACTCCACGCTGGTGGAGACGCTGGTTTGAAACTCCAATGTAGTTTGTTTTCTGACAGCTGAAGAAAGGAAATGAACATCAGCTGTTCATCATATTATTTCATTCCACTAAATCAATAAGCCAACATGTAGATTTCTCTTCAAACACAAGAGTTCTTCAGACTATCAAATGAATTAAGAAGTGAACAACTACTACAAACATTAGACAGCAAGAAACAAACCCTAACTAAAGACGATCTTGTTGTAAAACTATCAAAGCAACTTCAAAGCCTCCAAAGTGTTGAAAAAAAAGTGTTGTCTAAAAAAATCAAAAGACACCATGATCATATTCTGGGTTCTTCAATAATTAATTCACATTCATCAGAAGATAAATAAATAATACAGATGGAGATAATCAATAAATAAAAGAACTGATCCGGCAGGTTGTTGTTTATGTACAGGTGTTTTTTTTACACAGATACCAGCTACAGACTGCAGTGATAATGGTGCGTTCCAGTTATACTGGGAAGTCGGAATTTCCACGTTGTCAGTCAGAAATTTCAACTGGAAACCCCCTTAAGTCAAAATTCCAACTCAGAAAGTTGTAGGAACCACACTGCCCACAACGTTCCTAGATTGATGCTCTGTGGATTAACAGTAGTGAAAGCTGTAGTTTGTACTGTTTATTAGCACTACTGTGTATTTGTGTCTCACAGAAATTATCGTACACAAAGTATTTTCCAACTGCTGTCTGTGGACATGTTGCTACTGTGTTTAGTATGCGTAATGCGGCATTGGTAACAACGGCTAACCTGGCTAGTTGTAACCAATGGCTGGTCGAGTGAGGTTTTATCGACTTGTTAACTGGAACGCAGTCAGCTCAGGTGTGATGTCATTCCCAGCTCCGACTTCCGAGGTAAATGAAACCCTAATTGTGATCTTTTATTAGTATCCACACAGGGCACATGTTTGCAGACAGGGGCGTAGGACTGGGGGGGAAAAAAGGTGACTGACAAACCTGGCTAATCAAACCCAGGGAATAAAACACAAGCCCCACCTCCTAGAGGGTCTGACATCACAACATTCATAAATTATTTTCCAGGTGAAGAGACAAACCTCTGGTGCCCTCTGATTTGCTGCTGTGTAGAGAGAAAAAAAATGATCACGTTTGTGTCAGAGTACGAAACTTATTCAGGCTGTCAGACCAGTTCTGAATCTTCCTCATATCTCAGCAGTAAAGTCAGCTCAGCTCTGTTTTTTTGATTAAATCGGATAGTAATCATGTGCATTCAGCCCCGACACAGCTTAGCTAAACGTTTAAACAGTGGTGTGTTGAACACCCTGTTGGGTACATTTTAACTATTGCAGGGTTTATATACACATTGCTGCTGGTTGGGTAACACCTCACAGACAGCAATGAGGTGAAACATACCTCAAAGCCTGTTCGATAAGTTTCAGACTATTTCAAGAAAACATTTCATAGCAGAGAGGTGGACACTGTTTACGCCCCAAGGGAGAATGGCAGAGAGCTGCACTGGGGAGCCCATGCAGCAAGTACGCGAGACTACAGGAAAACCAGGAACGACAGTCCACCAGCCCAGCCAGAGGCAAGACCTCTTAAGTGCAGGCAGAGCCTGTGGCCTCGCAAACCCGAGACCGGCCCAGACCCTGGATGAGGGCACCGCACCCCTAGAGAGCCACCACCAAGGGAGAGATGCCACCATGTGCCCCGGAACAACAAGACACAAAATGGCTCCCTCAATAGAATTAATTAAAGGTCAACTACAATCTGTGCACTGTAACTAAAATCTTTAAAATGGTAAAAAGTCAAGCAATCAAGTAACTATAACAATTATAAATAATTCTTGCTGGGATTTCACAGCCCTACTTTAAAACCTAAACTCAGTCCACACATGCAAAATTAAATGATACTGGTGGTTTTGAGTGGGTCTCTGAAAATGAAGAGAACCATAAGATCTGGTTCCCTCCCACCACTTTTTTTACAGGTGTTAAAAAGATCAGACTCACTCAGCTCGTTCCTGTGGATGTCCGTCAGATCAGCAGCTTGCCGGCGTCTCGTCCAAGTCCATCTGTAAACTGAGAGACCTGCTGATTTATATTATAGATGACTCCTCCTATAATCAGTCCTGTCTCTGCTGCTGCTGTGTCACCATGTCTTCCTCAAAGAATGTTGTCCAACTGGTCTGAAGGCAAAGTAATCAGTTCCAGTAATCGGTTATCCTGGTAGTTTGTGTCGGGCAAGCTGTGACATGTAATCATCTGCAGTGAGCTGGAATATTTCTGTACCTGTACTACTCTACAATAGGCCCCACAGGCGTTTAATACATTTCTCTCTGACAGCTGAAGGATTTGTTGTTCTGAAGGCAATGAGTGAAATTCTCTCTGATTCTTTCAATCAAACAGCTCACTGATAGTTGTATATTTAGATGTGCTGTCTGTTTAGTGGTAGCAGTAATAGTACTAGTACTAGAAGTTAATTATATTAGGACTGGAGAGAATGGGTCTCTCGGGACGGATGAGTAAACGCAGCTGGTTTGTACAGTCAGTAATAATCTCCCCAAACTCTACAGGCCGAGGGAGTCTCCACATTTATGTTCAAAAAGAAGACCGTCTGCAAGAAGAACTCTTTTCGTTGTGTCTAAAAATCAGGGGGACAACTAAAGTCTGGCAAGTATTTCAGTGATATGTTGCTCTACACGTACAGGACTACATATATTTCATTATCTGACTGAAGCTGAGCGCTCATGTTGCCTTCTGTCATGTTCATTAAACTCTGAGCACTTTTTACTTTCTTCACAACAATCACACTTTCAATCAAACAGTAGATCCAGTGAACATGGAGAAGAACATGAAGGACTTTCTCACTAGTACTTTTACTTGAGGAAATTACTGGACTACTTTTACTACTTGTAAAAGTACACAAGTATTATCAGCTTCATATAGTTAAAGTATTGACATTTACTCATTTAGCTGAAGCTTATCCAAAGCAACTTACAACTGCTTTATATGTCAGAGGTCGCACGCCTCTGAAGCAATTATGGATTAAGCGTCTTGCTCAGGGTGACAATGGTGAATGTGTCTTATCCACTGAGCCACTGGCAGCCCTATGCCTTTTTCAATTCAGTTCAATTAAATTTTTATTATATAGTGCTAAAGCACAACAACAGTTGTGCTTTTCATAAAAGAGCAGGTCTAGACCATACTCTATGATGCTATTTACAGATACCCAAAAGTTCCCACGAAGAGCAAGCACTAGGCAACAGAGGGAATGGGAAATCCCCCGGCAGTCTAGGCCTATAGCAGCATAACTAAGGGATGGTTCAGGACTACCTGAGCCAGCCCTAACTATAAGCTTTATCAAAGAGGAAAGTCTTAAGCCTACTCTTAAATGTGGAGATGGTGTCTGCCTCCTGAACCCAAACTGGAACCTGGTTCCACAGGAGAGGAGCTTGATAGCTGAACGCTCTGGCTCCTAGTCTACTTTTGGAGACTCTAGGAACCACAAGTAACCCTGCATTCTGGGAGCGCAGTGCTCTGGTGGGGTAGTAAGGTACTATGAGCTCTTTAAGATAAGATGGTGCCTGACCATTAAGAGCTTTGTAGGTAAGAAGAATGATTTTAAATTCTATTCTGGATTTTACTGGAAGTCAATGCAAAGAAGCTAAAACAGGAGAAATGTGATCTCTTTTCCTGGTTCCTGTCAGAACACGTGCTGCAGCATTCTGGATCAGCTGAAGAGTCTTAATGGACTTTTTCGAGCAGCCTGATAATAAGGAATTGCAGTAATCCAGCCTAGAAGTAACAAATGCATGGACTAGTTTTTCTGCATCATTTTTAGACAGGATGTTCCTGATTTTCACAATATTACGTAGGTGAAAAAAGGCGGCCCTTGAAATTTGCTTAATGTGAGACTTAAACGACATGTCCTGATCAAAGATAACTCCAAGATTCCTCACAGTGGTGCTGGAGGCCAAGGCGATGCCATCCAGGGAAACTATATCTTTAGATAATGCGTCACAGTTTTATCTGAGTTTAACATTAGAAAATTACAGGTCATGCTCCAATCAGTGCGACTAGCCTACAATATGAAAGATTACTGTTCACTGATCAGCTTTATAGGTTACATATTAAACAGTGATTTCTGCAGTAATGTAGCCCAATTCAATTTTATTTATATAGCGCCAAATCACAACAACAGTTATCTCACAGTGCTTTTCATAAAAGAGCAGGTCTAGACCGTACTCTGTGATGCTATTTACAGAAGCCCAACAGTTCCCACCAAGAGCAGCA